TTCCAACCCCTATGATTCTATGAAGAAAGATACACTCTTGATATGGGAGGCTGGGATGCCGTGGTAGCTTGGAGGGGGAGGATTCAAGTACATAGGAATGCAAAGAATTACTCCCAGCAAGGCTGTTCCACAGAAATGCTGAAGCTGTGGGTGTACTTAGAGAAAAAAAAATATTTTGTCTGAAATTATTTCCTGAAATATATGAGCTGTCTACTTTATCTAGAAGGGACTGTTCGTTAGAGGCATATTGGTGGTAGCTCTGTTAAACATTTCCTTAATCAGCCTTTTGGGAAATTTGCTATCTCCAGGCTTGCTTACATTCAGCAAGTTTCTGAAGTCTAGTTGCATGTGAGGAGTCAGGTAGTTTACTGCTTTAATGACAGCCTGGTTGCTGAGCAAATGGTTTATAGTGATTTATGGGTCGGAGTAGAGAAACTGGCTTGAGCAGGAGAGCTACAAAATGGTCAATCAGTTTTCAGAACCTCACATCTGAAACAATGATAGATGGGCAGTGTTGTTAAAGCAGAATGGTAGAGCTATTTTGCACACTGCAAGGTTAGCTATGTTAAATCCTGTGATATTGGATTGAGAAGAATTCAGCAGTCATTCTGGGGACAGGGGAAGGAGGCTGGGAATACATATGGGAGTTGCACAGACAGTCTGTTACTAGCAAAGTTTGAAATATCTTTGTGTTGGGTTGACGCTGGCCAGTAACTAAGCACTCACCAGCTGCTCACTCACTTCTTTCTCTCCCTCCAATGGGATGGGGGCAAGAACTGGAAGAATAAAAGTGAGAACTCATGGGTTTTAATAAAGACAATTTAGTAAGTGAATGAAAGAAAGTAAAAAAACAAGAGATGCAAAGTCAGTTACTCACCATCTCCCACCAGCAGACCAATGTCCAATTGGTCCCCAAGCAATGGCTTCATTGGAAAGACCAAACCCACAGGTTTTATTTCTGAGCAGAACATTATATGGCAAGGAATGTCCCTTTGGTCTGTTCTGGTCACCTGATCTAACTCTGTCCTCTCCCAAGTATCTTTCCCAGACCCAGCCTACTCTCTGAGGGTGCCAAAGAAAAACAGAACAGGCCTTGATGCTGTGCAATCACTGTTCAGCAGCAGCTGAAATGCTGCTATGCTTTCAACACTGTTTTATTCACAGATAGAGAACTCAGCACCATGCTAGCTTCTATGAAGCATCCAGTGCCAGTAGAGTCTTCTGCATTACCTAACAGAATAAAAGTATGTCAAAATAACTTTTCAAACAAGTGTACCAAGTCAGCATAATTCAGGATATTGAGAGATGGAAGGACCTGTATCCAACTTGTACTCTTGGCAAAACACGATACAGTCTTTGCTTCCTGAGAATACTGATTCCATTCCAGTCCATTGTGGACAAACAATACAGTTGCTATATATCTGTATAAAGATTGTGGACTTGGAGGATAGCATAGCATGTCTATTGCATGGCATGAGAGATCTTATTTGTTTTCTTCCCTGTCTCTCAACTGAGGGAAGACTTTCAGGTTTTCTATATACTGTATTGTTTTGGGGTTTTTTTTGACTAATAACCTGGAAGTTAAGATGTTAGTGTCCCGTGGAAGAAAATAATGTAATATATGTGTATACATCAGACATCATGGAGCACACATTTTTGTATAGATGTACACTCGAAGTATATACAAGGGAAAGTATTTTCCAAATGCATTTATTAAAGCGGTGACTTATCTGTGTGTAGTATGCTTGATTAGGACAATTAAAGGATGTAAGAACATATGATATATGACGCAAATTACATACTAGATATGGTATCCCTATGAGTTAATCTGAAATGACTGGAGTCTTTTTTCCAGTGGTTTTAAGCATGCATACCCTATTTTGGCACTATGGCAAAGGTTTATCTAGGCAGAGGTCTTAATTGTGGGAGTGGTTAAATTGGAAGCATGTATTTTGCAGTGTCAAACAGTAGTGCTGATATGCTGTTGGAAAGGGCTGGAGAGTTATTAGGTCACAAACTAGTATTATCATCTGGCAGTACGGATGGCAGTAGCTTTTGGCTTTCCACACTTGGTATTATGGTGAAACCCAGGAATCATCTTGTCAGAGTGCCTCTTTCAGTATTTTTACTTGTTTCATGTGACGAATAGGAGATCACACAAATTCTTTTTCCTAACACTTTTAAAGGTTCAGATTAAAAGAAAGAAGCAACAAATAAAACCCTTAGCCCTCACCTTTACGTGTCATCTCAGTGTGGAAATTTGAGTAAAACTGTGGCTTATGAAGTTTATCTGATACGGGAAAACATGAAGTGAGTTAAATATATCTCTGAAATGCAGCACTGTAATATTGCACTTTGTTTTACAATTAGCACTTCTCTGTGTGTGTATCAACCACCACAACTAAATTGGAAAGTAGGACTTTGTGCTTAATATGTGTTTGACTGTGAACTCATTGCCATCGTCTAATATGTGTTAAAGTAACTTGAAATTTACAGTTTCAGTAAGTTCAATATCAAGCATTTGTGCAGCAGATTGCAACATAAACTCAGTTGTAGTGTGAATAAAAGTCCACGAGCCTTTTTCTATATGATGCACACATGAAAATTTTAGGCTACCCAAGGAGCCAGAATAATTTGGAGTAAATGCTTATCTGCCTTCATCTGCTAAGTAGCTTAGAGTAGTTGTAAATGGAAATAGATTTGTGTCTGCTTTTCTAAATAATGAGAAGCTATTCCCAAGAGTAGTCATAGCACCTGTATTTCTTATCTAAATAGCATTGTACTAGTGTGTGTACAAGTCTTGTCATTGGCTTAACATTCCTATTAACAGACTGCTTATTCAGCCTGATCAGATTCCTACTTGACCTTCATTGACAATTTTTAGTATAACAGTACTTTTACTTTTTTTTCAGTAATTATTTAAGTAGATTTATCTTAGATGTAAAAGGTGGATTTTTTAATTATTATTTATTTTTTTATCCTGTTCATTGCCTCAGCATGCTATTTGGAATTTGATTTTTGAAGAAAATGACTAAATTTTTTAATCGTTTTTGTTCTGTAGGTTAATCTTCGAGCCACTGATGTGAAGCTTATGCGCCAGCTACTCATCATCAATGAAAGCATTGAATCTATCAAGTGGATGATTGAAGAGAAGGCCATTGCCAGCAGAGGTAGCAGTTTGAGTGGCAGGCTGGGCAGCTTGCTGGAAGGTCAGGAGACATCCCTCCATGGCAGCTGTAACAGTTTACAGGACTGTAGTGATGGACTGGATGGAATATCAGTGGGGAGTTATTTGGACACCTTAGTGGATGATGTCCCTGGTCACCAAACCCCTTCAGATATAGACCAGTTCAGTGATTCTTCAATTATGGAGGACTCACAGCCTCTGCATAAACATCCCAAAATTGATTCTGATGAGTACTACTGTTTTGGTTAATAAAAAACAAGTTCCAGTGGGACACTAATGCACTTGTACTTACCCTTTTTCTTTGCTGCTATTTTATTTCATGTGCAAAACCCCCAAGCTTCTCTTGAAAGGAAAACATAATATGATACTTTGATTACACTTTATAACTTTTCTGTTGCTTCTAATACATTTTCTCCTTGGTGGGTTGGGCTTTTTCTCCTCCTAAACCTTTTCTTTTTCTTAATTTATTGTCACAATTTTTCTGTTTTAATTTTTTTTTTTACAATGCTGTATTTACAAGTCTTTAAAACTGGTGAAGGAAAAGCTTTATCTTTAAAATGAGACATCAGGGGATGAAAGTAACAATTTTGTATTTGTTCGCAATAAAATATCTTCTAATAAATATATGTTGTGGTAAATTTTCTTGACTACCATGTTTGGCCTTTCCAAAGGCACCGTTCTTATTGAGCCTTAAATCTGAATCTTGAAAATACCTCTACAGAATAAATTTCCTTTTGTAAGCACTGGTATTTGTTTCTGTTCAACTGTCTTCGCTTGGAATATAAAGTATCCTAATTTTTTTTTTTTTTTTGGGGAGGGTGCATTTCTTCTGCAATGCTCTCATCCTTCTGTCCAATTATGGTTTTAAATTCTGTGCTTCATTGGTGTCTTGCAGTGATATAGGCAAATACAGGAAGCTCTGCATAAGAGTGTAATTCATTTTCGTGCTTTTTAGCTATTGTTTTTGTTGAACCTGCTGTTCCATGGACACAACTGACACCTGTGAAAAAAATGAAAGAGGCATCCAACATTAAGAATATCCAATTCTAATAGTTTGGTTACTGAGCCAAAATTTCTCAGCAGCATTATTTTAAACATGTAGTTTAAAGCCTTGGCAATTTTTACCTTGAAGGATTTAGAGGGCTGTTGGTGAAACATTTTACAGGAGTCAACATGTTATGAGGCATGTCCTGTTTTGCTTTTGTAAGCACACTTTCGTCCTTAAAAAGTTTACTTCATTTTTACCAAGTATTATGATGAGAAAGTAGTGCCCTCTTCTCTTTTTGTCTATTGTTTTGTAAGAGTTGGCTTCAGCCTTTTGGTGCTGTTGAGAGGTACAGCTAGTCATTCATACTGGAAGCATCTGAGAAGAACGGGAACAAACTTCTGTGCTCCCTGGTTTTGAGACTCCCCTGGCCCATGCTTTTATGCGCCAAATTGGGAGGCAGATTTTTCCTGTAATTGCTTCAGAATGACAAAGAAACAGGGTTTTATCCATGTTAAAGAAAAAAACTTAAGAATAAAAGAAATAAAAATTGAACTTGACACTTTAAAAGACTAATGAATGTTGATACTTGGACGTCATTTTGAAGTGTCTTATCTTGCCATGCCTGTATTCCTACTGCAAGTAAATTGTGGAATTCTCTCACCAAAGAAACTGTTTGCCAAGTGTAATACAACCTCCCTATTTAAAATATATTTTACACATTCTGCAGGAATAAAACTAGTATATGCAGCAGCCTACATGCATTGGTTTGGTTCATTTTGAGATAAAGTAATAGTCCAATAAGGTTCTACTCTTCCATGGATCTGTCTTGTCCAACCTTGATCAACATCAAATGTGGAGGAAAGGTAGAAAACTCAGGAAACTGAAAGTGGCAATTTGTGCTTTGTTTTTAGTTCTGTTACTACAATACAGTATGTGTCTGTGTTGCTCAAAATTAAAAACGGGATATGTGTATTTTGCATTGGATGTAATGATTTATTCAAATAGAATGAGAGTGGAGAAATGTGTGCCACCAAGAATGAGGCTTCTCGGTTCAACTTCTGAGATGAACCAGGGTATTGCAGGTAGCTTGAAGAAAAAAGTAAGCAAGCCCTCAAATGACAATGTGGTGCTAGCTTAACATTTTTAAGTTCTTTCGTTCTTTTCCCAGCTTATGACTGCTGGACATAGTTTGGGGAAAAAAAAAAAACTTGGAAAAAATTAATTCTTGGTGTACCTTTAAACAAAATATAACTGTGAATTCAAAATAAGTTTTAAGTTTTATTACTTTACTTTAAATTATTTTAATCTGTAGAACAGGGCTAACTCCCTGGTGTAAAACTGTGAATCTCTTGAAGGCTTTTCTACCTTTATTGCTTGGTGTGGAAGTTAAACATCAGTGTATATATACTCCCTCTGAATGTAATGGACATGAATATATACAGCTTTTTCTTCTCCAACTGGATTTTGAGCAGTAGGCCAAGAAGCGCATAAAATTTTTCTACTAAGAAGGAAATTCAAAAATACTCTTGTATACCTTCTCAGGTGTCTCCTCGAGTTATGCTGAAATTACTTCAGGGAATATACAGGCTGTAGCTGTCACCTGCCCTCTCACAGCTGTAATACTGGATAAACAGTAATTACATGAGTGATAGATTTATCATGTTATGATTTAAAAGTTCATTTAAATGGGAATCAAAACTGGCAGGAAAAAAAAAAAAAAGCCTACTACTAGCAGTGGTAAAAAAAAACTCTTATGTGATTAGAAGGTTTTACTCCTTTCTATCTCTTGACTGAAGTGGAGAAAAAGTACAAAAAACCAAAATGGAGATGCCAGGAAAGTGTTAGGAGGAAACAAGAATTTCCAGGTGATGTGTTTCTCATATCCAGTAACACAAACACCTTGGGTTTTATTTTTGAAGCATAAAGGTTTCAAAGATTTATATTTGACTTAGATTCCTTGATTGCATTAATAGATCTTCCAGCCAAAAGATAAGAATTTACTCTAACTTATCACTTAAGACAGAACATGAGATTTAGTTATCTTCTAAAATGAATCCCATAATTTACAACTGAACTAGAGCTTCACTATTTAGACAATGGAAAATGTTAAATGACCCTTTATAAAGTGTTCATATTGAGTAGTTGATACTGTTTTTTGACAGGTTACATAATTCTTCCAGCGTGACTTGGTCAATCTTAGTCCTGGAAAATTTTGTGTTGTAAAAAGGGCTCTGGATGCCCTCTTCTAGCACTTCGCAGGGCTGGGTTCTTTTTTTCCCTTGGGTTTGCTTGCAATTTTTTTTTTATAATTTATAGAATTAAAACCCAAAATTCAGTAGTATAGGGTAGAGTATCTGAAAGCACTTTGCAGAGCTATGTCTGTTTCAAATGGATAAAAGCAAAATTATTTTTTTTATGGAAAAGTAGCAAATACAACTTATTTCTTTTCTGTCATTTTCTATCATCTTGGCTCTTCTGTTACTTTGCTTGCTTCCAGGCATGACAAACAGTTTTAAGACAATTTGTAAAATCACAGGCAACAAGCAAGTCAGTCCATTCTCATTTCCATACTGCTGAAGTTTTGTGTTTGAAAGACATCCCACTGTGTAAACTGTGTAATTCAGAGACAGTAAAGTATAGTCAAAAAATATATATTCAGTATTCTGTATGTATATTCAGTATGCTTTCTGTTTTAAAATAATAGTTTCCTGCTAATAATAGGAAGCAACTAGTAAGTGTGTGTGCTCTGGTTCATGAACAAATTATTGGAGGATAAAAAGAAAAAAAAAAAAAAAAAAGCTCAGTCACATCTGAAAACTGTGGTGGTGCTACGAGAGGTTGAAGAACCAAGCCTAAGCTCTTGGATCCATCAGTAGGCCAGAAATGTACTAGGACACTGAAGACAGATCAGTGTCTCTGCTTCTGGAAGGCTCACTACCATTATCCTGCAAGTTGAAACAGGATGATACAAGAAGCTGGAAATCTGTGTACCTTGTTAGAATGATCCCTGACTTCTGAAGGGAGTGGCAAAATGCTGGAAGTACTGTCAAAATGTTTGAGAGTTTGAAGCCTCACAAACAGTGCTCTGCATTTCCCTTTGAAAAAGAGAACTGGTTAGTCAAGGTGAGTGAAGTGCAGCCTGAAATAATATCTGCACCATGTAGCTGCGTTTCATATACAACCTGTATGAGAACCCTGGGAAAGTGTTGGCATTTGTTTTGTAATACAAAGCAGTTAATAATCTGTCTAAAAAGCCTATGCTAGTATTTTTCATGTTGCCAGCATTTTTGAACCAAGGCTAAAAGATGTGCCTTTGATATAGAGAATTAACATATACCCAATAAACATGACCTCAGTAGAAAGCATCCGTCACCTTACACCAAAGGAGGCTTTGTTTCACTTGGAATGTGCTCTGTTAACAGCAAGCTTGTCTTTCTCAGTATAGGTACGGATTTGCTATAGAAACAGCAGAAGAGCATCCTGCCCTGAAACAAATAGAAGCTTTTCCCTTACATAAATTAACAAGAGATTAATGTAGCCTGCACTTGACCTTTCCGTTGGCCAGACACTAAATTTCCCTGGTAAGGATGTGTAGAGTGAAAATTGAAAAAATTTCTTCTTTTTCCCCTCATGGACTTTTTTGTGCTATGCCACTAATAAGATAAACAATCTTTATGAAGTCTTTTTAAAAGCTTGCTTTTCCAGCAAACATTTCTAGTTTTACTACTGACATTTCCCTATAGTCTTGCTTGGTTTTGTTGGCTCAGGCCCAGAAGAAACGTATTTGAAAAGATAGATCTTTTAGTTAGTTAGGGGACAACATGATACAAATGTCTGAAAATAAATATCAGTAACACCATTCTTTTCTTTTCTTTTCCTTTCCTTTCCTTTTCTTTTCTTTTCTTTTCTTTTCTTTTCTTTTCTTTTCTTTTCTTTTCTTTTCTTTTCTTTTCTTTTCTTTTCTTTTCTTTTCTTTTCTTTTCTTTTCTTTTCTTTTCTTTTCTTTTCTTTTCTTTTCTTTTCTTTTCTTTTCTTTTCTTTTCTTTTCTTTTCTTTTCTTTTCTTTTCTTTTCTTTTCTTTTCTTTTCTTTTCTTTTCTTTTCTTTTCTTTTCTTTTCTTTTCTTTTCTTTTCTTTTCTTTTCTTTTCTTTTCTTTTCTTTTCTTTTCTTTTCTTTTCTTTTCTTTTCTTTTCTTTTCTTTCCTTTCTTTTCTTTTTCTCCTTGGCTTTTCCTTTCTTTGCTTCACTTTGCTTTGCTTTGCTTCTTTTCTTTTTTCTTTTTTTCAAAATTGGCAATCTTTTTTTTTTTACCCCATTTTTTGTCTCACATTCATATGAAGAGAAAGCAGCAGATTGAGCCCAAAGGTCTGTATCATGCTTTTTTCCTGTAGACCATAGAGCACACTTATTCTCAGTGCAAACTTGTCAGTTTTGCTTGGTCCAAAATTTAATAGCTAATGGCTATG